AGAAAGGCCCTGGAACATCTAGCAGCTGTGTGGAGAGGAGTTTCCCAGGAAGATTTCATGACATGTGCCAAGGCCTTGCCACCACATTCCCGGAAGGGACTTGCTTATTCTCTAGCATCCTTGATACTTTACTCAGTGCCCAGAGCAAACATTTATTTGCTGACTGGAGCAACCAACATGGTCTCTTTCATTGCAAAAAACTCTTAAATAAGAGCTGAAGAGCAAATGACATTATGGACAGCCCTATTTCTGACCAGGGTCCCAGCTCTCACACTGCTGCCTCTGCTTGGCCAGGGCATAGGGTGTTCTACCTGCTCTGTGCCTCAGTTTCCCCACAACAGGACAGACACCCCATACTTTTTGAAGCTCATTTCCTCACAGCACCTTGAAAGTTTTGGCAGATCCTGCTGGCATGAAACCCCGTGATGTGCTGGGAAAAGTCCTGACACATGCATTAATGACAGCAAGAACATCTAACATCTGTTAGGTGGAAGAAAACAGTGAGGCCCCATGGAGAACTCTCTATCTGCTTTCTGTAAGGTCCACTTACCACAGGTCCCTGGCAAAAGTCAGTATCACCCTTTCACATCCCTCCTCTGGTTCAAGCAATGGTCCCACATCTTTGCTGTCTGCATTCAGACCCAGGGATGCTGGATGGTTTCAGGGCATCGCTCTGAGGGTCTATTCCCAGCAGTGTCATGGGAGTCACCCATCAGAGTGCTACTTTTAGCCCAGTAGAGCAAACTCACACCAGTGTTGTCCTGCCAGCATCAATGGAGCTTTACAGAAGGTGAATCTTGCTTGCTCAGCCTCTCTCTACCACCTGATCCTGCATGCATGCATGCAGAGAGCATGGAGATTTTTTTTTTTTCTCTCTCCCCTTTTCACTCCTGCTATTTTTCATTTCTTCCATTCCTTTTTTCTGAACACATGGGTGTAGCTCTGCTTGCAGAAATCCCACAGAGTTATTCCTGCTTCATCCCAGGGCAGTTCAGCAGACATGGTGATCCTCTGATTTCTCCCCTTACACCCTCTCCAAGAAGCTAGTTCTTGGCACTGCAGGGAGAGGGATTATTTGATCTTTATTAATTTATTGAAGGGAAGGAAGAGGGTGGAAATTGCAAGAAAAGGGACAGCCAGCAAGATGGCAAGGAAGAGAGGTTAAAAATGAAGTCATCATCTAATTGGCCTGCAGTGAATTATTCACATGTATAATCTTTTTTAAAGAAAAAAATTTCAGCACAAGGCAATGCAAGTAAATGCTGTTCATGTTTAAAAGTCATTTCCATAAGTAAGTGCAATTTCTCTACTGTTTGCCCCTGTTTAATGAAGTGAAATCTTGTTTGCATTCCTCCCAATTTCCCAACGAAAGGCGCCCAAGCGTTTGCACCAAAATTACTCGGCCCAAATTAAAACCCTCCAACACTTAAAAAAAAAAGAGGAAAGGGGGGAAAAATCAGACTTATTTTTAAAATGCCTTAAGTGCATCCCAGCATCCTAATTTATTTTTAGACACTTGTTATTAAGAGTAGTAGTAAGTTTCCCCTTTTCTCTCGCTCTCTCTCTTATTTAAATGAACTTAATGGCAATAGATGCAAATGTCTGGAAGAGGAAAATAGTTAACATTTATTTATTCTTACTGTTGTCTCTTCCCTGGCTGGTGTCATTAGAACAGTTCGTTGCATCCCATTCGCTCCCATTAGCTCTGCTATCAGAGCCACCCAGCACGACTCCAGCACGGCTCGAAGTGTTTTCTGCGGCCCACATAGGGACTACATCATCATCTCTGAGGCACTGGCTTAATGACAAGAAAAAAAATCGGAATATATTGCACAGCGATCTGGGGAAACAACAACAAAACCTACTGCAACCATTGCCGCCACCCGATGCTGTCTCCCCTTGACCAGGGACACACACCCCAGCTTCAGTCAGGCAGGCGGACAGACAGACGGACCAGCTGTGGAGCTGGGGCAAACGTGCCTTCACAATTTATTGAGCTGGGCAATGTACAGAGAAATATGCCAGCGGGGACCCAGAGTGCTTGGAAATGTGCTCGGGAGGACCCAGCGAGACTGGAATAGGTTCAAACAGATGCTCTGTGCCAGCAAAGCCATCTCCCCCAACATGGGGCTGCCAGCCAGTCGGCTCCTGCCTCCCCAGCATGGGCAGGAGCTGCCAGCTGGGGCTGGTGGTGGGATGAGGAGTTTGCACCCCCTCACTGATGAACCTCACTTTCCTCCAGTGCCCCTGCAGGAACATTCCCTAAAGCAAACCAGACCAGCTCACTTGTGTGAGCAGCCATGTATCTCAGGGACACGTGGCCCAAGCTGCCAGCTCCAGCTGATGGCACAAGTCGCCCTGCAAGGCACATCACGCCAGCCCACCAGCCACTGCTGCAGAGATAAGGGGCTTAGCTCTAACCCCCCCCCCCCTCAGGGAATGGTGGCCAAGAGCTAGAGCTGGCAAGCAGCAGCCCAGAGAGGCAGGTGCCCTGATGCCCAGGAGAAGTGGCCAAAACCCACCATCCCCTGGAGCACTGGAGTCCTCTCCAAGCCCCTAGAACTGGAGGTGGACCTGGCCCACACCACAGGGGCAATATCCCTTTGCAAGCAAGTGGGGCACAACAGCTTGCCCACCCAGAGTGACCGCAAGTTTTGGGGTCTTCTGAGCCCTCCGCCCCACAGGTAGCACATGGGCAAGAGTGGCAGCAAGCACGAGAGAGAGAGACCAGGGCTCAGTAACAGCCCCGGCTGACAAAGCAGCATTTGGAGGGAGGACATCAGCATCTGCAGCGCTGACACATAAAAGAGAGGCGGCAGCTATTGCAGGCGGGGATGGAGCCATGAGAGGAGCCCTCCCCCCTCCATAAAGTTGACATTGTCTCCCGTGATAACTTTTCTGCTGAGGTAGGAGTCACTTTACTGCAGAGTTGCACACAGCAAGTAGCTGCCCTCCCCCCGCCCCTTCCCATCCTCTCCCTCTCTCTCTCTCTCCAGCATCATTTACATCCTTAATTAGCTGTAATTCTGCAGTGCTCATTAGGGAAGGACTGGAAAACATCAAGGAGCCCACAAGCAGGGGGCTTCAGGGGAGAGGCATGAAGAAAGGGATGCGAGTGTCAGGCTGAGAGGGGATGCCCAAGGCTGGATTGGGGAGCCAGGAGCAACTTGCTTAATTTGGGTGGGATGATTACACTAATTTGGGAGCACTGATCCAGTGATGGGGTTAAAGAGGCCACACTGTCCCACCTAGAAAGGCAGAGGACGTGTACAGAGTAAGAGCATCTCACTAACAGGACTTGTTCTTACTTCCTTGCTCACAGGTGATATCTCTCTGCTGGGTCATTCAGTGCCCCACACTCTCAAAGTCAGCAGTCAGGCACAGAAGGAGGGCAATCTTCCCTGTCAATGCAGACAGCTACACAAACCAGTCTTCTCCTACAGCCTCATGAGGAATTATCCAGCAAAAAGGTTTCTCTGGAAAATTGAAGCTGACTGGGCTAAAGCACTTCTGCCCGGTGTGCCACTGTGCTGCAACCTTTTAGCTGAAGGAAGAAAGACCCAAAAGTGCTCCAGAAGAAAATCTGAATGAGATAGTTGATTTTTAGGTTAGATGCTCTCTTGATGTAAAACAAGGAGGGGATGCGCCTTTTTAATATTACTTCAATGACCTAAAAAAACAAAAAAGCAAGAAATTAGGACTTGAAACTATAGGCAAACTTTACATTCCAGGTTGTTAAATGAAATATATCCTTCAACCCTAAATGAACAGACATTGTAAAGTTTTATTGTTGGTGCAGATATTTGATACAATTCCTTTGGGGACCACCAGAAGACCTGGGCGGTTTTAATATGGACTCATTCAGGAGTATACAAACACAGGGAAGGTTAAGTCTTCCCTTTCCACAGTCTCAAGGTACAAGACCATTAAGGAGGTACTATTGCCTCCTTGCCTTAGCTGGAGAGCAGAGAACAGGTAAATTAAGTAAATGGGGCAAGGCCATCATGGAAATTTGTGGCAGAGCCACGCAGCGACCCCAGATTTCCTACTGTCTCTTTGAACCACTAGTTACAAGGCATCTTCCCTTATGGTGTAGCACATGGACCTTTGTATGCCCACTTGCACTTGCAATTCTGGGCACATACCTGGCTATTTTTTAATTCACTGCCTACCTGTACCTTTGCTCAAGCTTAGATGTGCATGTAAAAGTCTACCTGGGAATTCAGTGAAGTCAATGAGGATGGTCTTTGCAAGTCCATCCTCCTACTTTTCACTTGCTGGCAGTAATGTGAGCCAACCGGTTGAGCTGTGACAATGTGCCTCCCCAAAGACTCAAAATGATCACCAGTACATATGGGATTATTTACAAATGTGTGAGCATGTGCACAAATGTGCGCTTGCTCTTTGAAGTATCTTCCTTTTTCATTAACTTGTTTCATTAACATCATCCAATAGTGTTTGGATGCAACTTGCCATAACAGAGAATCAAAATAAGCAAGTGTGCCAGAACAAGGCAAGAGAAAACTCCAGTGAAGTATGTTTTCATAGAGGTCTCTAGAACCTTTGCAAAACAGAATTGCAGTGATTTGTATCATTGGCTCTGAGGTTTAACACAGGATAATTCCATTTGCATTTACCAAGGACAACGTATTTACATCGTTCAAGGAAAGAGAATACTGGCCATCATTCTGTATTAAAATCTGGCTTTTCTTGTAGTGTCTGGTATGTAGATTACTAAGGTCTTTACAAAGGATATAGATAAAATTTCCGGCTCCACTCTACATGAAATTCCGGTTGCAAAGAAGTAGTGGTTGGTCAGAGACTGCCTGGATCTAGTTGCAGTGCTTTAAGGAGCATTCTCTCTACACTTCCAAGGAACCATTTAGTCAAGGATTTAAACAACAAATGGACAATGACAAACCTTCAGAATGGATTTTATTCATTACCACCCTAATCTCTGGGACAAAAGAAGAAGATCAGGGGAAAAAAAAAATGCGAGATCCACATGCCTACTAGAGATGTTCCGCTCATACAAAGAAAGATACCTCATTGCTGCCCAGCTGTAGAAGACAGGGATGCCAGCTAGCTTAGACCTCTGTGCAACCTTAGCTCTGCCCACATGATGTGGGTGACTGGCAGGATTCTGCAGAGGGTAAATACCTGCTGCCAGACATCCACAGAGGAGGGTGTGGATGTGGAAAGAGCTGCTTGTGTTTCTTGCATAGCTCACAACTGCAAAGGCCAGCTGCTGGGCAGCAGCTCATCCTTGCATGAAGCTGTCTGCACTTTCCTGCTCACAGCAGTTAGTGATTTCCTTCAAAATGGCTCAAAAGTGTCTTTTATAAATTGCTCGTTAGTGGGTTCTTTCATACCTGGAGTATCAATAAGCGGCGTCATTCCCACAGCCTACTTGCCATCATTATATTTCTTCTTCTGCACTTCATCCTGCTTGAAGCCTAGAGGAACAGCAGGGGCTTGCCTTTTGCCTTTCAGCCGCAGTCAGAAGTCCTGGGCTCAGATCAAATCAATCTGGGTTGAAGTGAGGCTAAGGAGACACCTAGAAGAGCAGGTAAAGTATGAATTACAGATATTCAAATAAGAGCCACCTTTCCCACAGTTTGGTTTCAAGGCTGGCTCTACAAAGGATGAACCCAAGGCATAAAGTTGAGTTCTATACAACTGTCAGAATCAGCAGCAAATTTCCACCAGTGGTGGATGGCCATATATGAGCAAGTGGAGATGACTCAGGAGGAGCATACTGATACGCACAGAAGCAAGCTCTTTTGCATATGTATGTGGATGGGCACATATGTATATGCACATTTGTATTTTCATGGATGTGTTGGGGTGTGCCTGATGCTGCACATCAGTGTGTGCAGATGCCAGCAGAGGAGGGGGTACCCCCCAGGCTGCACACTAGCTGAAGTGTGGGTGAGAGTTTGTGGACTGCTACTGAATAGCTTGAGGCATCAGCTGTAAGGGCTTATTTCCAGTACAGAGCATTTTCTCCCACTAAGAGTCAATGAAACCATTCTGTCAAACCTCCCTCAGGTACCACACAGGAAATGTAACACCAAGGAAACATTTGGGAAGATTTCTGGTCACTGAGACTGTGGTAACTTGGGGAGAAAGCCTAGGTTGTGAAAAAAGACTGCTCATGTAATTTGCAGAGGTATTTGGCTGACTGAACAGCCTTACACTTTGCAAGTATTCTTTTGGTTTCAGCAACATATTCTCTGTCTCCCTCACTCTTTCACAGGAGCTTGGAAGAGACACAGATCTGCTCTACAATAGCTTTCCTGGCATTGTTGCCTGTGGTGACTCCTACTGGGAGAAACTGAGAGGAGAAAAGCTCGGAACTGGCCCACCCTGCATCCTCACACAGCTTCACACCAGGCTGCCTGCAGGGCTGCAGCAGCCAGGATCCTGCCAGCCTCCACCAGCCCCACTGTCCCTTCTGCACCCCTTCCCCAGTGCCACAGCCAGCTCAGAGCTCCCTCTACCCTTCACCCAGGCACGGTCTCCTGATGGGACTCTGCTTGCTGTCTGTGACCCAGGTCCAGGCACAGCTTTAGAGCATCTCCTTCAGAAATTAGTCCTCTCTCAGCGGTCAAAGCCAAGCCTAGCTGTGCCTCCTGCTGAACCTCCTGGCATGGCCAGCACCTCACTCGTTGGGCACCTTGATCTTTCCCACGGGGACTCAGGCAGTCAGAGGGAGAGAAATTGATAGCAAGGAAAAGCAGCAGATGAAAAGTAAACTCACACTACATAAATCCTGAAATGGTTTTTATAAGGACACAACATTGTAACAACTTGCCAAGAACAACACAGAAATTATTTCAAGGTTTCCCATTTGTTTGTAAAGTGAATATTAAAGGTGCAGGCAGCAGTCTCCCAGTGTTCCCCTGGGAACTGTTGGTGTCCGTAGTAACGAGGTCATTCCTTTTTTATTAGGAGAAGGGTTTCTGTAAAGTTAAATGTGCTGACAGCCTCTTGCCTTTGATGTTGGGTTTCACCTCAGTCCCTCCTGCAGATACTGCTGCTCCTCCCTCGCAAAGATACATCCCTGACAAACAATCTCCCCTCTGTCTTCCCTACTTGTTTGTTTAGACGCATGATGGGCAGCTCTGTTAAAGGGCAGCACATGAAGGTGGGCTGGTGTTTCAGTGGATGGGAGAGATGTGAGAGATTTGGTTGCTGTAATTAAGTCAGTCTTCATTCCCCCAAACTCCCAGGGCTTAGTACCCTTCATTTTATTGACCAGACAGATAATTACAGTGACAACAGTCACAAACCCCCCACTCACAGTTGCGCTAAAATTGCTGTGGTACCATGTTCAGATGAACATGGGACCTGTAGAGCCCTTGCCACAAAGCCCAGCCTGGACGGGGAGGTGGGGAAGAGCACCCCAGCTCTATCCCTGCTTCCCCACGGCTCTCCTTGCTCTGCAGCTACAGGGACAAGTCCTCCCTCCCCAGCAGAGTGGAAAGGCCCTTCCAC